AATAAATAGTAAAATAAAGCATAAGGCTTTATGGATGAAAACTAGTAATTTACTTTAACTTATGTCTTTCATAACATTTTTCTTTACACTTCCCCGCCACTGTGCTATCATCATCATCATCGAAACGCACTTTTGATCCTGTCCCGAGAGCCGGAGGCTGGAGGTATGAAAAGGTACCGCATGTATTCTCTGCTCTCTCCTGATCCCAGCCTGTTTTGATTTTTATTATGATACAGAAAAAAATGTGCACCTTTATTTATAAATATTTTCAATAGCTTTACCAAGAAGGGACTATTTCTGGATGCTGAAATTGTCCGTTTAACACAGCTATCGGTGCTAACCAGGTTAGGAAATGAAACCGCAGTAAAAATGGGTCTCTGAAATGTATGATCCAGCAGTGTTTTATTTTTTCTTTTTAGTGAAATGATTGCACTTAGTTTTCTGTTCATGAATTTTTTCTAATTAATTTTTTCATTTGTTCTCTTATCTCTTATTGGTCAAGCCACATGATCACAATATTAATTTGCATTCATTCCCCCCAACTTGTTCTTCATCAGGCATTAAATGCTAAAATATTCAAAATACTAAAGTGCTTTAACATTTTTAAATGCTAGAATGCTGTAATATATTTTTACCTATGATTTGGTTTTTGTGTATCACATATATTTTTTTTTTTTTCAATCACCAGCTTTTCTTGTCTTTGTTAAAAGTCTAAACTGGTTGATGAGATTTTGCTGCCTTGCATTTTGGGGACAGATATAGGGAAAATAGATTTCCCAGGATTCTCCTTTCTTCCAAAAAAGAGCCCTGACGCTGGGACTTCTGAGAACCGGGGTCTTAACATGTAGTTCGGTACCGTACTGAGCTACTGGAGAGAAGGGAAGCCATGAAAGGAAATTCTAATGCTGCTTGCCTTAGACATCCAAGTCTTCATTGTAAAATGAAAATAGATAAACACAGCGCACAGACCACAGTGCAGAACCAGTGGTGCGGGTCACATAGTGTGCACAGGTGGCAAGTGGCCGCTCGGCTGTTTGAGGAGCTCCCTGGGCTTTGGTGCGCTCTGAGGCCCCAGGACCTCAGAAAAGCCTCCGCTGGTACTGAAATCGTTACTGATAAACCTTTGTTTTCATCATGACTTAGATTTCCCTGCCAGCCCAGCAGAGGGGCTTAAAAAGTTGGATCTGTGTTGAGTCTAAGAAAACAAAAAGTGCGCTGCTCCTTGGCTCCTTGCATCCTGATCGTGCCCCGTGATGAATTCATGCCCGTCGTGTTTATATTCTTGTAAAATTGGTATAATGAAAGGGCTGCTGGACGAGGGCTCAGGAGACTGCTTCTGTGCCAGACCTTGCAAGTTTGTCTTCATATAATGCAGGCCATAAATGCCTTTGTAATTTTATTGGGATTGAAATGATGTTAACTGAGCTTGCTTTATGCACACTGGAAAATTTAAAGGGTAAGGCCGAATGTGGTTCAAAAACGAAGACTCGCAACTCAGAGTCATGGTACCCGCTGACTTGTTTGTTTGGGGAGGCAGCAACAATGGTTCAAGTTTTAAGCTTTCATTTGGCTCCTAAATACTTTATTGAGTCCATATAGCTCTGAAATAATTGGAATGGGGCTGGGGTTGGAACTCAGAGGTAGAGAGTACTTGCTTAACCTGTAAAACACACACACACACACACACACACACACACACACACCTTTCTAAAAGTGTCCCTTGCCAAGGCCCCTGCTGCTCCCCTCCTCTTCCTCTTCCTTCTCTTCTTCATTCTCTCTCTCTCTGTCTCTCTCCCTCCCTCCCTCTCTTCTTTTTCTCCCTTTTCCTCCCTCCTCCTCTCCCCTTACCCTCCTTTCATTCTCTCTCAAGTTTTGCAATATTGAGAGTGCTTTCTCCAAGTGAGAAAGTGTGCTGTGAGGTCCGCACAGACAGTGTTATGGACTTGTCTTCTCAGCCAGCCCCACCTCAACCACACCAAGCCATGTGATTCATACAGAGGCCTCCAGGATGCACAGCCCGACCCCTGCCCATCCTCCTGCAGAGTGACGTAGGCTCACACGCACTCACGTTTGGCTTCTTCCCTGGTGTATTCCCAGCCCCCGCCTCCTCCGTGCTACCTCTGTGGGAATCACTTTCTCCCTGGTGTTAACACCCTCTGGCTGAGTTGTGTCTACTCCCATAGACATGGCTCCATGTCATGCCTTCCTGTCACCGATGAATTCATGCCAAGGACACGGGGCCCTTGCCCTATGTACTTCCTTTATGTACTCACCCACCGCCGTGGAAACTCCCTTCATGACTGAACAAAACTGCTTATCCTAGGATCGACAGTAACCTTCACATTTCCTGATCCCGGGGGCACTTCTCCATCCTCCTCTTGTATGATCTCTCCCACAGTAACTCTGTGAACCGTATTCTCCTGTGTAGTTTCTGTTGTTTCCCACCCACAGTGTTTCTTCCTTTCTTGGATCCCTAAACATTGACATTCCACAGGGTTGCCACTTCACCCTCTGCTGTTCTTTCCTGATAGTATAGCTCAGGCATTCTCTCTTTTTTCCCTTGGCTTCATCTTTTGTCCTTTTGCCGACTATGCCCAAAGCTATTTCCTACCTCTTTCTTTTGCAGAAGCAGCTCAGACCCAAACTCAGTAATTTACAGGACATAACCGCTTGGCTGTGCCACCAGCTCAGACATAAAATGCGCACATAAGAATCAGCTTCTCCTAAACCCACATTTTAATGTGTATTTTCTCTTCTGATGAAAAGCAGTGCCACCTATCATCAGCACTCGAAACCACAGAGCCATCCATGAATTCTCTCTTTTTCTTCCATCTCCAATCCATAACTGGATCACATTTAGCTTGACTTGCAAAAATATTTTAGTGTCCGCCCTTTCCTGTAGAGCCTCTCCTTCAGCTCTCTCTCTTTAGGCCGCATCACCTCTCCCATGCCTGGTGCCCAACCTTCCCACGCCTTCTTGTCCTCTCCTTCCTGGTGCCGTGGGAGGCTGCTTATCACTGTATGGGCTCCTCTGCCTGCAGAAGAGCGGTGAGAGGGGTCCCTGGAGATGTGAGACGGACACTGAGTCTCCTCGTGCTGATTGTATCTGCCTCCTTCAGGGACACAACTCTTCCAGGGAAGCCCTTCCCCTCGGCTTTGGCCAGGAGCATTGCTCCCTCTCCCTGCTGCTTTCCCCTGCCATCTTCTCATTGCAGCTACTCCCGGGGTGCTTTGCCCTCCCCTGTGTTCTTCTGGACTCTGTGAGCCCTCTGCACACGGTCCCTTCTTCAGCGCGTCTCGGTCAGATCCTTGAGCATGCAGAACACTTTCTCCTGGCACTAGGAGCCGTGCACTGGTCTTTCAGTGGACCTGTCTTCAGCTGTGCACTTCTGCCAAACCTCCTGCCTGCTCTTTTAAATGTAATTCTGATGTCTCCCTCTAACTGAAAACTCTGTGGCAACATCCCCCTGTCCAAGAAAAGAGTTTATGGCGTACAGTTTTCCTCCCTCACCTGCTGCCTTTCCAGGCTCCTACTTCACTAGTTGCCCCTTCTGTCGTCCTGGAAATACCAAGTGATCGTAAACCCCCCTCGCAGGGAAGACCCTGTGCTCTCACACTGGGGATGCCCGACCTCTGCACCCTGGGTCTGACCTGCTGTGCACCTGTCACAGTGCAGACCAGTGTGGGAAACTGTAGAGACTTTTTCAGACTGTTTCACTTAAGGTAATATCCTGGAAAATGGACAGAAGCAAGAAAGATGAAGTTTTCTTCCCTAGTAGATAGTTTTCTCCACAGAAAATATTTAATTAGAAACAAGGAATGTTTTATTTTTCAGGAGGATAAAGTGACAGTTCCTAATCCTAACTTCAGAAATAGGTATCTTCTCACATATGCAGTAGCCTTTGAATATATCAAAGGAATCTCTCTCTCTCTCTCCCTCTCTCCCTCCCTCCCTCTCCTTCTCTCTCCTTCCCCCCTCCTCCCTCCCGCCCTCCTTCCCTTTCTTCTCTCCTTTGATTTCTTCCTTCCCTCCTTCCTCCCTTCCTCATTAAATAGCCTTTCTTTCCTTCCTTATTTCTCTCTATTGTTTCACTCAGTGTCAATCTCTGAGAAGAGCTTCCATTATAATACACAGACTACAGTGAAGTGTATGTGAGATTTTTAACCTTTTATAATTATGTGGGTTCGATCCCTGGTAAGAAAAAAAAATATGTGGGATTTGGGAGTTATTTTAAAGCCCAGTGCCAGGAAGCAGGAATCATTTTCTCATTTGAGAATAGAATGGAGAGGATTATGTCATGTCTTAAGTGGATCTTCACATTGGAGGAAAGGTACTAATTATCCGAAGGGAGTGACTCCAGGGCTGGCAGCTCCCCTTCAGCTGATTTGTCTCATCCTGGCCTCTTCAATCTGCGTCTTCCTCAGCTAATTTGCTGAGGTCTATGCTGTCTGGTGATGGATGGGAGGTTTGAGAGAGGCCTGGAATGTGAATCATGGGGATGTGAATAATGGCTATTCTGATAGTTTCCTGATCCATAAAAGAAGCAGATAATTTTTTTTGACCAGACAGATCGCCTGCGATGGAAGTGGTTTTTTAAACTCTGTTTTCTCAAAGGAAATGTCAATATGCGTAAAAATCTGGTGGAGCTTATTGAGTAGTAAAGTGGAAAAAAGTGGAAACTGAGGTTAGAGCCAGATAAAGGCAACACAATCTAGAGAAACGTCTGTGCTGTCAGTGTTATAGTCCTAAGACCAATTAGAAAAGTAAATAAGTAAATAAATATAGGCTTATGCCTTCCAACTGCATGACATCATATGAATTACTAAACTTACCTGAGTTCAGTTTTATTATTTTTAAACAGGAAGAGATTCCCTACTACCTGCATTTATTGGGATGATTCTGCAAAATACATAAGCTACAAAGCATTCTACTACACAGACACCTTAGCTTTTTGGACTAGATAAAGCCAGAATGAATGCCACAGCGGTTATTTCCAGGGTATCTTTTTGGGTGTTGGTTTTGTTAGCAGTGCTGTCACAAACACATGCACTGAGTCTGCTTGGTGCATGGTCCAAGGGCAGCTCCATGGTGCTTGCGAGGTTAGGTAGACCTTTGGAGACTCTGCAGTGTTTTCTGTGTCTTTGCTTTTATGCAAATTCAATCGTAATCCCTTCAGTTCTCCTTGTGCAACAACTATTTTTCACCATCTTAGTCTTTAATTCAAAGCGTCCACATAGCCCCCGTCTTTGTCTCACAGCGCTGGTGCTTTCTGTATGCCTAGAATGTTCGAAAATTGCTCCTTTTTAAAATCACGGTTTTCAATTAAGAGGCTCCAGGTCTGACTTACAGATTATCTTTTTTATAATGAAAATGCATTCTAGCAGCAAACCTGGACCATTTGGGACGTTGTTAGAAATCAGGTATCCATTTAAGATGGTGAATTTTGGTAGGGAAAGAAAATATGTAACTGTGAATGTGAAATGTTGACTAATGTGGAACTTTTATTAGTAATACACTTAGGTGGGAAAAATAGATACACTAGCTACTCCGAAAAGTCCATTCTGAACTCAATAAAATAAATACAATTAAAGTTTTGATAAAAGTAACATTTTATTTTTTAGTAACATTTTAAACTACAGGCAAAAAGTAATTTAATACATATAATTTGAATTAAATTGAGTGTGTGAGCAATTATCTTTGAAGCTTGTTCGAAGTAGTGCCCATATGGTCTGAAAGCACTCTAGTAAATATCCATAGAACAATTAATTTTAACAGAAATTTTTAAGAATAGTATAAGGAACTTAGACCTCTCATCTCATTGAATAGTAAGAAGTGTTATGTAAATTTTTTTCTCAAATGTATATATATATATATATATATATAATCATTGTAAATTATTTTAATTGTGGTTACAAACACATAATATAAAATTTCCCCTCTGAACTATTTCTCATAGTGTCACCTACATTTATAGAATTGTACAATTAGTCTTAGGAAGTTTTCATTTTGCAAAACTAATGCGCATTAAGCTCACCTCTCCAATCTTCTTTCCCTCAGCCTCTGGCAACAACCATTCTATTTCAGCTTCTAAGAGTTTGATTCATAGAAGAACCAAACAATGGAATCACACAGTACTTGTGTGAGCCCTTTATAACTGGCTCAGTTTGCCTTGGCATAATGTCCTCAAGGGTTTTTCATGTTGTAGTATGTGTCAGTCCCTTGTCACAATGAAATGACAGTTTTTAAAAGTACCATATTTTTCATCTCAAATGTTTGTAAGAGACTCTAACAATTAAAAGGTACAACATTGACAACTTAGCTTTTTGGACTAGATAAAGCAAAAATGAACAACATAGCAATTATTTCAAAGATATCTTTGTTTTTGTTAACAGTGCTGTCACAAACGCCATTAGTGATGGCCATGCCTTCTGTTTCCATGGCAACATAGGCATATGCTAGCGATTGGCTAGTCATCCCTGTGTTCTCACCTGGAGATGCTGTGTGGTCTTAGCCTTTGAAAGGAATTTTGCTCTAGAAGTAAGCAAGCATATATAATCAAGGTTAGCAAGCTGTGAGATTCACTGTTTTATGAACAAATGACTTCTAGGGGATTGGGTTGTTGTTTATTTTCAAATCCAGATGTAGGAACTGATGCTCTGCTTTACCAGAGTAGATGTACTAAATGCTCCATGAAAACCAGATCTGTATGATTAACGCATGAGGGGATGAAGGGCGCTTCAAAGGTTTTGATAAACTGAGTTACAAATGCATTATTTTTTTCATCATACACACATTACAGATAGTTTATAGATCTAATGCATTTCACAACAAAAACAATACTTTTGTCCTCACTTTGGCAGCACATATACTAAAATTGGAATGATACAGAGATTAGCATGGCCCCTGCACAAGGATGACACACAAATTTATAAAGCATTCCATATTTTTTTTAAAAAAATGCTTTCACATTGAGTTCTGTTTGGAGTGAAGATTAAAACTATAACTAACTTTCCACAACTTAGCTATTTACCACTGGAGGTAGTAGATTACAGGCCAAATTCTATCTAATTTTCTTTGGTGGTCTTATAAAATGTCAACTATGCAATAAACAATGAATTGTATAGAAACTGTTAGCAAAAATGTTGAAGACTCATAAAATGCAGTTTGAAAAATTGAAACATTTCAAAAAATTACTTTCCTTGTGGAAAATTCTTTTAAATTAAACACCTTTTTCCCTTTGTCATTTTTGAGATTTAGATGATGCATTAAACATGCCCATGTCTGTGTTTTTGTGTTCAAGTGTAAAGGAGTAATTATTTCTATTTAAGAAGTAGTACTCACTAAGTTGGAAATTTAATAAAACTACAAATGGATTAGAAAACGCTTACCTCATCTGGGAAAATTGAGGCTGGATTCTTATTTTTAACTAACAAAAGCAGTCTTACAGAAATAATGACTTTAAATACAACTTTAGAGTACTGCCATGATATTTATCCCTTCCACTGATCTCTTCTCTTTTACCCCATTATTGTACTTTCTGGTGAGATTAAGTCTTTTTTTTAATGTGCTTTTTTTTTAATTTCTTAAATTTTTATTTGTTTCTTTTTTTCAGTACTGGGGATCAACTCAGGACCTTGTACTTGCAAGGCAGGCACGGTGCCACTGTGCTAAACCCCTGGCCCTGGTGAGATTCTTAAGCCCATTTTCACCTCTCTTAGCTGAGGACTCAAATCACTAAAAAATGAATGGATTCTCTGGACTCTCTGATGATAGACTTAACTTCTTTGAAATTTACTTTTTGAGCCATGTGAATCTGTCTGCTGGCTCTGCTCTATCAGGAGGCAACGCCTTCCAGAGAAGTGACAGACCCTGGATCTCTGGAGTCTGGCATTGTCTTCTGAGGCTTGCAATTAATCCAAGAGAAATGGGTGTCAACACAGATGCCATCTGATCCATCCCAACCTGAGAACTGGTAGATAATTTCATTGTTTCCTTAATCCAGAGGCCTCACATAGTTCCCTTTGGAAGCATGGTAAATGGAAAAAGACAGTGCCAAGTGATTTTTAAAACTTTCTTTACTTTCTGGAAAGTGTTTTACTATTTCTTGGCTGCTTAATTTCAGAGTATGTTTCCTCCATCTTTATTAATCAGTCATCATTTTGGTTCATTACACTATGGTTCTCTTTATTTTCAATTAGCATGCCCTATTTAATTATAATTTTAACAGAAAAATTTGATGTGAATTTTTTATAAAATTAGGATAAGTTATACCAGCTCATGTAGTAATTTAAGGTTAAGATGCATTGGGTTTGTTTTGTTTTGTGTTTTCAGAAAAGGGTACTTCACCACTCAACATTTAGTCAGTTAACATTTAAAATATCTCTGTGTGTTGAATAGTCAGTTAATATGAACAAATTACAGTCAAGTTCAAAGGTCTTTAGGCATGAAGATATTTGCATATTTTAAGTCCAGATAGATGTGAAATCCAATCAAGCATCAACCAGTGGGAGCTTCAGATTTATTTATTTTTTGAGCAAAATGAAAAAATAGAGTACATTCATAATTGAATTTAAAGTTATGAATTACATGCTTCCTCCCTTTTTTTGTGGTATGGCACAATTCATATAATGTCTATGTGGATTTAGTGCCTCTCCTGGGATCACTCACCAAAGTTCTATGAGAGCCTTGGTCAAAGAAGTAGGGCAATTAAGAATGTCAAGTGGGCCGAAAAGGCAATTTTGTTTTCAAGAAATTAGGCTTCTCTCAACCCTGGGAATATTTACAATTGAGTATATAAACATTTAAAAGAATAAAAACCATAGTAGTATTAAAATTTTGTTTTAAGGAGGCTCTGTATATATTTGTTGATTGTAGATATAACTTTAAGATAATCTGTCCTATTACAGTTCGGCTGGTAATTCCAGTTTGAATGAATAATCATTTCATTCATTGAAGGTTAGAATTTTGAGCAAAAATCCATATTCCCTATGGTTTAAGACAACTTAAGGCCTATGGGATTTATAAGGTGAAATTAGATGTACAAGAACTACTGGAGTACTAGGAAGGTCTCTCCGCGAAGGCATTCCCAAACCTTTGAAAGGATTGTGCTCACCATGGACCATGAACATCATTCGAGGTCATGCCAGGTTGTTTCCCAGGGTGTGCACCTGGGACCCAGAGGATCCCCCGGGTCTTTTCAGGATTTCACAGGCCCAACACTACTTTCATAATACTGCTAATGTGGTATTTGCACCCTTCACCCTCACTTTCCTGGCCTGTACAGGGGCTTCCCCAGAGGTTTCGTGAAGTATAACGCAACAGACAGAAAGAACACAGAATCACAAGGGAAATCCAGCGGTCTCCTGTAAATCATAACAGGACTGAGATGTACCAAGATGATTTGCCAAAATGTAAATCACAACAGCTTTTTCACTATGTTTTTGTTGGTTTTTGAACACAATAGTTTTTATATAAAATTTTTCTTAGTTCATTCATTTTATTCTGCATTTATTTTTAATTTAAATCAAATAATTTTCTTACGTTTCCAGATTTACTTTCTAATATAGTAAATAGCTACAGAAAAAGCACTGGAAGGAAGGATCTCTATAATTTTGAGTGTGAAGGGATTTTGAGACCTCTTAATCTAGAGTGATGGTTAAAATTAGCAGGTTTGTAAGATATGTAGACTAAGTAAATAGCCTAGAAAGCTACGGTTTTGATTTGCAGTACTAATAAGTTGAAAATTAATGTTAAAATCCACAGTAAACCTCTAAATTGTTTCTTCTGCCCCAAAGTGCTCATGAGGCCCACAAAACCTGTATCACCACCAAAAGGGGCAGCACTGGAGACCTGAGTCCCTACCTGCAGGAGGAGCCTTCCTCTCCACAAGGCAGAGCTCTGGCTTCTCATTCGCACTTTCGTGGCCTTGCTTCCCTCTTCTTGCTGGGGTTTCATTTAGCTGAAAATGTGTGATTTTACAAACTAAAACGACAAAAAAGAATTTCCGTGTAAAAAAAAAAAAGAGTATCAATACAAGTCCCTCAGTAATGGAAAACCAGACAAGCATCTCCAGTCTTTCCCTGGGGCAAATTATCTAGGCACTCTGGAGCTCAACCTCGTCTGTAGGAAGAGGATGATAGCTGTGCATCCATGAGATTGTTGTGAGAAATGCGTTAATACATTTAAGGTGCTTAGAGTAATGGCAACTGAAGAAACATGTTGCGATCCTTTTTTTAACATCTAAAAAAAAGGCATTGTCAAATTCCCTCTAACGAATTCATAGGCATCTTGTTGGAACAACCGCTGTTTCTTAGTTGGAAGCTGCCTGTATTCTCTGCTTTTATGACCGTAGGCCACAAAAAACGTACATGCAAAACTCAAATTAATTATAGGGCTAGTTTCTTCAATAATTTGGGATGTTGGCAAATAAAATCCTTCTCAGCTTTTTCCTTCTCCTAGGAAATTGAATACATCTTCTTAGGTTTAAATTGTTTATCTCCCCAGAATGCCATTAACATGGAAATCTAAAACTAAAAAAGGTTTGATTTAAGTCAATCCTTCCATTACATGTGTATGTGTATTTCAAATTATTTTTGGAATTTATTCCTTGTCCTGAAAAGTACTCCAAATGTAACATGCCTTAATTTAATTTGAAGTATTTATTTTGGCAATGCAAGTCAGTGGTTGGTAATAGTTTGAAAGTACAGTAGCCTCTCCTATTATTTTTATTACTATGATCGTTATTATTATTGTTATTGTTTGTGCTGTTTGAGGAAGTCATGGAAGAATACAGCAGGCCACTGGTTCAGCCCTTTCTTTTAGGAAAAAACAATGAAATGCCACTGCAGGGGAACTGAGGAGAGAGTCTGATATTTAAGAAGTACTTGCCTTATAGTAGACACTCATTTATCCCTCACAGAGTCCTGGCCAAAAAAAAAAAAAAATACTACTTTTTCATTTTCACAGATGAATTCAGAAAAGTTAAATATCTTTCTTCAAATCACAGAGCTACCCAGATCCTGGACTGCATTCTGTGACTGATGGAACAGAATGTCCTCGCGGAGTTGCATAATAGATGCCGACTTTTGCTGGAGCCCACATGTGGCTCCAGAGTCCATAGGCAGAGAAAAAAGACAAGGAAGTCCAGGGTGATGGAGAGAGAGCTGCGGCAAGAGGGATACAGGTGACTAGGGAGGTGTTCGCCTTGCTCCTCTTGGATATAGCTACGCACCTTTCTGTGATTTCAGTTCCTGTGGTCATCCACAGTCTGAAAACAGTCAATGAAAAATTTCAAAATGAACGTTCCTCTGCCGGGCACAGCCTTTAGTCACTCAGGAGCCACATTGTTGAAGGAACCCCACAGCCACGCTCGCTGAGGTCCCTTACACACGGTGGTGGCCTTTGCATTGTGATGCTGTCACGTGCTCACTTCATCCCATATCATCCCACGTCATCACAAGGAAGGGAGGACAGGAAAGGAAATTTCAAGAGCGAAGTCACAATCACACATTTATTACAATGCATTGTTATAACTGAGCCCTTTTAGTATTTGTTACTGTTAATCTCTTACTGTATATAAGGTATAAATGAGATTCTACGTAGCTATACACACAGAAGAAAAACAATACATATTGAGTTTAGTGCTTTGTGGATTCAAGTGTCCACTGGGGGTCTTCTTGGAAGAATCCCCTGAGGATGGGGGTGGGAGGCCACTGTGTAGCACTTGCTCTTTTGTTTCTAGTTACTTAATATTAAAAACTATTTTTATTATATTCCATGTTCTGTTTTCTGTCTTATGATTATGACTTAAGTATGCTTTATTTTGTTTGGGTTTATGATTAGGAAAGGTTCACCAGGCAACTACCCATTTCTTCCTAAGAGTTTATATATTTTAAAAGGAACATGTCTTTTTATTGGAAGAAGTACCAGAGTATTTATTAATAAGCAACACTGTGTTCCCACTTTATGAGGTTCTAAGTGCCTTTATTGTATTTATTAACTTTATAATAAATATAATTGTATTCATAGTCAATGTTAAATATTATTTTCTTAGAGTAAAATTTAAAAGTATGCATACATCCAGTTTTATTTTTTAAGTGGTTTAGCTATAAATGAACCAAATTACTTTCTCATTGGCTAAGATTTCTTAACAAGCACACTAGTAGATGGGGCATACGACTCAGTGTTCTGCTGTCCCAGTCCAATGGTGTCTGCCACATGTACCACCTTTGTTGTTCAAAGTGTATTTGCTTTTGAGAACATCCCGTGTACTTATCGTGTAAATGGACTTTTGTAGGCTTAACAAAATAGTTTCTGAAAAGAGCCATCCTGACCAAATTCTTGTTTACAGGTCTGGTTTTTTTTCCCAGATATTCCATCTATTTAGATTTTTCCGTGTGTCCTAAAATAAGCAACATGAAAACTTTCACAAGGAAAGGAATACTAAGACAAAAACAATGAGCCCTGTGAGTTCCATTTTTTAGGATATTCTCTATCTTTTGAGCACATCTTGCCTTACAGAGAAATAACAATGTCACCCTGAGCCAGGACATTCCCAGAAACATCAGAAGGTCAACAGTTGTGTGTTCTGTTTCTTAATTCTGAGAGGAAATATGGAAGTTTTCAGCAGGAAAAGGTTTTCAATATAAACATATTAGAGGTAATGTTTGCTCCAAGAAGTTTGTACTTCACAAACAGATTAAGCATACTATTGATAGCAAGTCAATTAAAAATATTTTCCTGGCAGAATCACATTGTTTCCCCTTATTTTATTGACTTAAATTGCAAGATTCTAAAAAATAAAATAAGTTAGGGACGGGGATTTAGCTCAGCAGTTCAGTGGCCTGCCTTGCAAGCGCAAGGACCCGAGTTCAATCCCTGGTACCAAAAAAATAAAATAAAATGAAATAAATTAAAACGTACAGTTGATTTTTGTTTAAGCTTTACTGATGTATAGTTGATGTACTGTATGCTGCAAATATTAAAGTGTAAGATTTGAAATTTTGACATATGTTCACACATGTGCAATAATCAACAGAAGCCAGATAACAAGCATGTGCTCTACTCTAACGCACAGCAGTGTTTCTGTAACCCTTCATCATCCCTCCTTTGTACTTCTCATGCTTTACCGCTCATACCCTTAAAGCCACTGATAAGCTTTGTATCGGTGGAGATTAGATTTCATTTTCTAGAGCTTTATATAAATGGAGTAATATAATGTCTTTTTGATCTGACTTCCTTCACTTAGTGCAGTTACTATCTTTGTGTGTACCAATAATGTATTTCTTTTTGGTACATGGTACCATTCTGTTAGGTCTGTATACCACTGTTAGCCATTCACCTTGGTCGACATTTGGCTTGTTTCCAGTGTTACTCTGCTGGGCACATCCACGTATATGCGTTTGTGAGGAAAAATGACATTTTTCTTCTGTAAATACCAGAGTAGACTGTCTGGTTCATATGTTAGGTTTATGTTTAACTTTTTACATAACTGCCAAAGTTTGTCAAAGTGGTTGTGACATTTTACATTCCCCGCAGCAGATGAGAGTTCCAGTTGTTGCCCGTCCTTACTAACGTTGTTATGTCGTATATTTAATGTTAGCTATTCTAGTGAATGTGGTACTGGCTTTAATTTGCCAATAATTTTTAATTTGCCAATAATAATAACTAATGATATTAAGCATCTTTTCTTTATGTTTATTGTCTATTTATCCGTTCTGTAGTGATGTGTCAGGTGAAAAATTTTTTTGTATTTTCTGTTGTGATTGTTTTAATACAGTAGTGCTTCATAAATATCTAGAAAAAGATCATATATACTTATATGTCTGAAAGTAGTAGAGTCTGAAACTCATGTAATTTTTCATGGTTTAAATCAACTTTTTGCCTACAAAATCATTAAACTAATCTTGATATCCTTTAAAATTAATCTCAGAAGAATGATCCAGAATGTGTCAGTTTTAATGTTAGCATTTGTGCTTCAAAAACTACGAGGCCATTATTTCTGCTTCTTGTTTTTAATACATCTATCTTGTGTATATTCAATTATAATTTCTTTTTTTGATGTTGTTGTTTTGGTACTGGGGGCTGAACTCAGGCCCTTGTGATTGCGAGTCAGGCACAGTGCCACTGAGCTAAATTCCTGGCCCTGTAATTTCTTTTTAATGGCCTATTATTGTCCCATGTCTTACATCCTGGTTACCAAGTTCTCTCTGATGTGCTTCCTAATTTGTGATATATTTATGAAGCATTGTGGTTTTATGTAGATACAATAACAGCTTCACACAAATAGCATTTTTCTTTACCAGGCACAGTTCTAAATCCCGTAAGTACATAAAACAATTTGGTTCACACAGCAGCACGTGTGTATTGTGATCTATTTTAAAACAAGAAAGCCGAGGCCCAGAAAGAAAAGACACATTTGCCCACACCATGCAGAAGTGGGTTACGTAGCCCCAAATCCACATCCTTGAGCCGCTCTTGAAGGGTCAACTATCTTTGGGGGACACTCTAAACATTACTTTTCTGATAACACATTACCAGTCATGCCTTACATCCCCTCATAATATTTGTATAAATAAAACAAATGAATTTGTATTCTAAAATTATTTCCCCTGCTAAGGAATAAAATTGTCGAGATGACTGTAATGAAATAAAAGATCACAAAGTTAAAATTCTGGAAAAATCTATAGGTTGTAAACTGAGTTCTTACCTATTACACTGATTAAATCTAATACACTGTTATCCTGATTTGTACAATATAATCTTCAAGAGTGTAATATTATATGAGTAGATAACCCATGAAATGTTAGCTACATCCAAGATTTAAAGTGAAAGTTTTTTGTTTGTTTGTTTGTTTGTTTTTGTACCTGAGAGAAAAGTAGCCAAGGTCATTTCTCTCAGAACAAAGGAATTACTTCATGATATTACTAGAATTTTAGAGCAAGTTCTACAGTGTCACAAATTCAGATAAACCTATCAAAATGTATTATCAATGGGTTATAATTAAGAAATTGATGATGGATGTTGATGAAAATGAAGAGCAATTTTAAGATATTGTGATATTTCTAAGTACAATATGTAAGATTCTCATGTACATAAATGAATTATTCAGTGTGGATTCATTCATAAGATATCTTAAGGAGAACAAGGGCTGTTCTGTGGCTTTTCCAATTGGTCTCTGTCATGCGTTCATGGGCTTGACAGTTTCTCTCGCTGCATAAAGACATTCAGGGATGAAAACACTAGGTCTTATTTTGATCTCACTATTATATCTTATCCAGCGGATAATCATAATGTCTATTGCTCCAAGCTTCCTATAAGGAAGATACTTGGAAGATATTGCCAGATTTTTTAAAATTTTCATTCATATGCCACAAGACCATAATTATGCATCTTTTGCTTAATTTTCATTAGGTAATTTTATGAAATTTTCAAAGTTCCTACTATGCTTTAAAACTTTTTCTTAAATAAGAAAATATCCTTTTTGCCATCCTGTAAATTGCATGCCTTCCTCTCCAGACAGATAAGGACAAAGTAGTCAAACTCACAGATAAACAGGAACCAGCCTGTTCCTCATCTCCTGCCCACCTCACTGGATTGCGCACTGCAAAGTGTGCATTGGACTGGGTACGGTTATAACACTCCTAAAAGTCAGGAATTTCTCGTTTTGTTCTCTCGGCTTCCTTTCCCCATTTTCTACAGACCCACCCCAAAGCCTACTGACCACCCTCTCAGTTCTTATTGATGTTCACCCCAACATGTGTTTACTTGTGAGGAAGGTGGCCCAATCCCAGCCAGCTGTGTGAGGAGCTTAATTTTCATGAGCACCACCTATGGATTCAGCCGGTCTGCTTCAGACTCTGCCACTGCTCCTAACTAATCGGACCATCCTGCGGAAGCTACTTAACTTTCCGAGGATACAGTTTTCCCTTTTCAGTGAGAGGCCTGATGATAACTGATAATCCCCCTCGCCGTAGAACTGCTGTGACCATTTCGTGAGCACTGCCTGGAATGTGTAAGCCCTAAACATACATGTTATTTATCTTTGTTGGATGTAAAATCAAGACAAGGAGAACACTGCCTAACATATTACAAAATAAGCATATGTGACTTGCGCTGGCTCCTCACCCTTTTCCATGCGAGTCTCCCAGCACACTTTGTAGGACCTAATGAGGAGTGGAGAGATTTGATCATTCAAGCCCAAGGTTTTGCTGAGACAAATCCAGGCAGAGGCCGCACATGCTTATCCACAGCCTCTCCTCTTTGTTAGCATTATCTCCATGGCAGGACTAATGATGTCGGGCACAACAAGCAACTTCAGAGCAACGATTTGCTGCATGAGATTTTTTTTTAAGTTCTTCCTGCTTCCTAGTATCTTTCCTCTATTTTTCTCCTTCG